ATAGGCTGGCTTCTTCCCCTTCTACAAAAACTTTAGGGAACCCTTGTCCCAATTAACCCAGACAGAGCCCATAATTGTAATCTGCAGCACTTACTTCACCATTTCCTTGGACAGAGCAGACACCAGGCATACCAACCCTCACCCTGGGAAGAGACACCACTCAGATGCTGAGCATTCATCTTTGTCTTCACATTACCAACAAAATAAAGCCTAGTTGGGTTCAATTAAATACATTTAGTGTTTATACCAACAAATGTGGCAACAAACATTAAAGTGATTCTAAAGGCTTCATTTTTTTCTTAACCAGTAACAAACATGTCTATACTTACCTGCTCTGTGTAGTGGTTTTGCACAGAGCAGCCTGGGTCCTCCTCTTCTCAGGCAGCCCACTGGCACTCTTGTCCCCTCCCTCCTGTTGGGTGACTCCACAACAAGCAGCTTGCTATGGGGGCACCTGAGCATGCTCACTCCTCAGCAATTGCGCCGTCTGTCCATTCACATAAGGAGCCGCGACTCGGCCCCACCTCTCTTTCTCATTTTGCTGTGATTGAGAGCAGTGGGAGCCAATGGGGATAGGGAGCCATGGGATAGCCGAGACTCCAGTGCACATTACTGGATTGAGGGGGGGGGGCTTAGGTGAGTATTAGGGGGGACTGGAGGGGGGGGAGGGGATGCTGCACAGAGAAGGTTTTTTCACTTTCATGCACAGAGTGCGTGAAGGTAAAAAACCTTGAGCCTTTACAACCACTTTAAATTATGTAACAATAGGCATTTATTATCTTCTCCAGAAAATGGGTAATATATCCCCCTTTACAGTAGCAAACACTATTCCTTCCTTGTAAAGCCTTTGTTTATCTAAAACAAAACAAACAAACAAACTAGCAAACAAAAAATTTAGCACAAGGGACATGACTCACCTTGGGCTGCTGTGTCCTCCTTTCACCAAACTCTTTCTCCTCGGATTCCCCACCCCCCATACTCGCTACATAATCTTCCAATCAGGGGCAGACTGACAACTCATGGGGCCCCTGGGCAATAGGGGATCATGGGGCCCCTGTATCTTTGCCCAAATTCAAAAAAGCCTATGAAAAAGGTACTAGTGGCATCTCATGGGGCCCCCTACTGACCCCGGGCCCTCGGGCAGTGCCCGAGTTTCCAAATGGTCAGTCCACCCCTGCTTCCAATGCAGTAGATTAATGGAACTAAGGGGCTGTGAAAGGCATGAATCAAGAGTGCCCGACTATGCCCACCTTTCCCACCCAGTCTCTTCATTTATAGTAACTGCTTCTACAGCTTCTACGAATGAAACATGATCTATGAATGGAGAGGGGACCATTCCAATTGTCTGCTCATCCTCCATTCATATTGTTCTTCATTCATAGAAGCTTTAGTATTATTATTATTATTATACAGGATTTATATAGCGCCAACAGTTTGCGCAGTGCTTTATAATATACGGGGGACAGCACAAGTACAATACATTTCAGTACAGAAGGAATAGGAGGGCCCGGCTCGTGGAGCTTACAATCGAAAGGAAGGGGGAGGTGATACAAAAGGTGATAGCTGCGGGGGATGATCTGGTGGAGGTGATTCAAGTACAGTTCTTAGGTGGAGGTGGGGTAGCCTTTCCTGAACAGGTGAGTTTTCAAAGATCGCCTAAAGGCAGACAGGGTGGGGGCGGCGCCTCTGACCGGACATGCTGTGGTAGGGAGTTCCAGAGGATGGGAAAGGCCCTGGAGAAGTCCTGGAGGTGAGCGTGGGAGGAGGTGATGAGGGAGCTAGAGAGGAGTATATCATGGGAGGAGCGGAGTGGGTGATTTGGGCGGTATATCTGCGGATGAGGTCGGTGATGTAGCTAGGGGCAGTGTTGTGGATGGCTTTGTAAGCTGTGGTTAGTATTTTGAATTTTATAAGTTGGGTTAGTGGAAGCCAGTGAAGGGATTGGCAGAGAGGGGCAGCAGTTGCTGATCGGTTGGTAAGGTGTATGAGTCTAGCAGCAGTCGCTGATCAGTTGGTAAGGTGTATGAGTCTAGCAGCAGTCGCTGATCGGTTGGTAAGGTGTATGAGTCTAGCAGCAGTCGCTGATCGGTTGGTAAGGTGTATGAGTCTAGCAGCAGTCGCTGATCGGTTGGTAAGGTGGATGAGTCTAGCGGCAGTCGCTGATCGGTTGGTAAGGTGGATGAGTCTAGCAGCAGCATTCATAATAGACTGAAGGGGGGATAGCCTGTGTATCGGTAGACCAGTGAGGAGGGAGTTGCAGTACAACTTCTAAAAATGGAGCAGCGGCTGGAAAGGGTGGGTATAGTTGAGCACTCTTGATGAGAACCTGCCACAGCCTCTTACTTCTATTAATCCCTGCCACATGGGTAAAAATATGGTGGCAGGGATGGTGGGCATCATAGAAGCAACATGTAGGTGAAAAAAAGAGGACGTAGCAGCCCAACAGACACACTCACTGAAGGAAATTAATGTCCCTTGTGATGATTTTGGATTTTTTTTTTTTTATTTAGGTAAACTTAGGTTTTGGTATCCAGATGCGCAGTTAATTCCTATAATAAGGGTGCTTGCCATTCAACCTTCCTGTTCCTCCCATTCCCATTGGTAATTCCTCCAGAAGGGACATTTATAGTTAATGACACAGCATACATTCTTGTATGTTATGATAGGGAATACTTCATTACATACTCCGCAGGACACAGTCTACTGCACTGGCCCAGCCCACTCGTCCTTATATATCCTATTAATGGGATATATAAGTGATGAGTGTCACTAAACCCATACGATAAAAAACTATCAATAAATGATGTATTTCATGCTGTTCATACTCACTCAGTCACCATGGGATTCATTTTCTGTTTTCTGAAAAAAAAAAAAAAAACCTGGTTGATCCTTCTGCTTTCTCTCCCCCTTCTGCCCATGTCCCCAATGCAGTTGAGAATTTTTGCAGAGCAGTGTTGGCAGCTACTGCACATGCTCAGTTTTCAGTAAGTTCCTATGCTGAGCACTTCCTCTCTCTCACATCTAAGCAACCCATTGTACTATAGAATCACACATGTGGGCGAATACACAGTGGTAAACGGCAGCCAACTCCTTCCCTTCTCCTCCATGCCCACTAACCAGCTAAATACAATGGGGCAGAATATTAAATGTAGATTGATGGAGGCCTCACCTCCCTGTTATTTTATGACACAAGCTGGACGGGCATAGGCAGCCTATGAGTGGCAGAAATCCACCCACACCATGGTTTTTCCACAAAATAATTAAGATTGAATTTCAAATATATGTTTGCATGACAATTTAAAACAATTTATTGATATTAATTATTTTTTTTTACTCCGTATCCCAAAGGCTTTTTTTTTTTATTATTTTGAACATGTGACCAGCAACAGAGGACTAAAAGCTCCTCCTGCCACTGTTGCTGGTCACCCTGCAGACAGGCTGGGAAAGAGCTGGGTCATATGACAGTTGTATATTGATTAGGAAAAAAGTACTTAATTTTTTAATTAAGTAAAATAATTACAGTTCCATCATCCAAGAGAAGGGATAATGTAAATTAAACAGTATGTGTTTAGTGTCACTTAAACTGCTTGACGCCGCCCTATAGCAGAAAAACTGCTACAAGGCAGCATGACTGTGCAAAATAACACACACACACACACACAGACACACACACACATATATATATATATATATATATATATATATTATATATATGTATATATGTAATTTTTTGCATTTCCGGGTAGGGGCCATTGGCTGCTTCAGCTGTCAATTACCTGGCAGCCGACACCCGGCGATCATCGAGTATCACTGATCGGGGAGAGATCTGTGTGTAAACAGTACAGATCTCTCCCCTGTCAGCTCCAGCACACTGCTTTGTATTGCTCTGCATAGCAGAGCAATACAAAGCAATGTGCAGACACAGTACAACACATACATACACAATAGTAAAACAGCACACAGTTAACCCTTTGATCGACCCACATGTACAGTGTCAGTGCTTTTTATTAGCACTGATCACTGTATTAGCATCACTGGGGATATCAGTGGCAGTTTAGTCAGTTTCCCACCAGTGTCAGAATGCCCACTGCAGTCACGCTATAAGTCGCTGATCGCCGCCATTACTAGTATTAAAAAAAAATTCCAGTACATACCGCCATTTGTAAACGCTATAACTTTCACGTAAACCAATTAATTACACGTATTGAGATTTTTTTTAGAAAAGACATGGAGCAGAATACATTTTGGTCTAAATTTATGCTGAAATTTGGTTTTAAATTTTTTTTTACTGGACATGTTTAATAGCAAAAAGTAAAACATATTGTTTTTTTCTCAAAATTGTCAATTTTTTTTGTTTACAGTGCAAAAAATAAAAACTTCACAGGTGATCAAATACCACCAAAAGAAAGCTCTATTTGTGGGAAAAAAAGAACATAAGGCTAATTTGGGTGCAGCGTTGCACGACAGCACAATTGGCAGTTAAAATAATGCACCGCTGTATCGCAAAAAAGGGCCCGGTCAGGAAGGGAGGTAAATCCTCTGGAGGGGCGGACTGACCATTTGGAAACTCGGGCTCTGCCCGAGGGCCCGGGGTCAGTAGGGGGCCCCATGAGATTCCCCTGGTACCTTTTTCATAGGCTTTTTTGAGTTTGGGCAAGGACACAGGGGCCCCATGATCCCCTATTGCCCAGGGGCCTCATGAGTTGTCAGTCCGCCCCTGTCTGGAGGGCGAGTGGTTAAAGTCCAACTCTATGAAATGATGTGCATTTCTCATTGATGCGTGTTGCAGTCACCTCCTCATACATCTTGTGCTCAGCTTTCTTCAAGTACCTGTTCACTGTGTGCAGTTTATTTCCTGTCATGGGGACCTGCAAAATGCAGCTGCCATTTATCTCTGAGGAAAGCAGTTCCCTAACCGTTCCTTGTAGTTCTACAATTGCAACTAGTTATGCAGGCACGGCAGCGTTGGCTACATTGTGCATGCCTTCCCTGCTACAGCACCACCTCTCCCTGTCTGTCCCTGCCAGTCACCGCTTCTCACCTCATTTTCCACCTATATACTATATATTCAGCCCCAAATCCAATCACTGCCCAAATCTTGTAGACTTCACCTCCACAACATCTCCAAGATACGCCCGTTCTTAACCTCGGAAAACTACGAAGCAAATTATTCACTCCCTTGTTATCTCTCGCCTTGACTATTGTAATTCCCTCCACATTGGCCGACCTCATCGCAGGCTATCCCCTCTTCAGTCTATCATGAATGCTGCTGCCAGACTCATCCACCTTACTAACCGTTCTGTATCTGCCACCCGTCTCTGCCAATCCCTCCACTGGCCCCCATTCAGTGTCCTCCACACCTCTCTGCCAATCCCTCCACTGGCCTCCACTCAGTGTCCTCCACGCCTCTCTGCCAATCCCTCCACTGGCCCCCACTCAGTGTCCTCCACCCCTCTCTGCCAATCCCTCCACTGGCCTCCACTCAGTGTCCTCCACCCCTCTCTGCCAATCCCTCCACTGGCCTCCACTCAGTGTCCTCCACCCCTCTCTGCCAATCCCTCCACTGGCCTCCACTCAGTGTCCTCCACGCCTCTCTGCCAATCCCCTCCACTGGCCCCCACTCAGTGGTCCTCCATCCCTCTCTGCCAATCCCTTCACTGGCCTCCACTCAGTGTCCTCCACCCCTCTCTGCCAATCCTCCACTGGCCTCCACTCAGTGTCCTCCACCCCTCTCTGCCAATCCCTCCACTGGCTTCCCATTGCCCAACGGATAAAAATTCAAAATATTAACAATCACATATAAAGCCATTTATAACTCACACACACAAATATATACAGTATAAAATATATATAAATACACACACACACATACGTTTGCTATATTTTATAGCTGCGACGGTATTACCTAAAAAATATATATATATTTATTTTAGGTAATACCGTTTGCAGCTATAACATAATAGAAAAAATTGATGACTGGGTGTTGGGTTTTCCTCCTGATTGGATGTCATATGACATCCTCTCAGAAGGAGCCATTCAGGTCACCAGACACAGACAATGATTGATCACTACATCAACCCACTGCCAGTGTCATGTGATGACATTGTGATTAATCACAGCAGATCATAAGAAAATTGAAAAACAATGGATGGCTTCCTTTCATGCCATCCATTGTATGCCTTTTGTTGCTAGCTGTAGTCACAGTGATCACAAGGTGCAGACAGGGCCAATCACAGGCCATCTGTATCATGTGATTGGTTTTTGGCCCAATCACAGCTAATTGCAACAAAAGACACTGAATAAATTAGTTTAATTCACTAATAATCGGTTGTTTTATATCAATGAAATTCATTGGTATGAGTCAATCATGATGTGCAAAAAGCAAAATAAATAAATAAATTAAAATAAAAAGTTATTATGGTAACACTGATATTGCCCTAGCCACAGTGTATTAAAAAATTGTCTAAAAAAAAAGTAATAAAAAAAAAATTATCATCATTATATTATTATCACTGCCACAAAGTTGACCAGTTATATGATGACGCTGTACTGCACTGGTGACAGTATTTTAAAAAAAAGTGATTTTTTTTTTTAGATTTCTTCTTTTTTTCCAAAAATTGTGACAAACAAATTACAACAAAATTTGCCATGCCTCTTACCAAATACCTTGAACTCGTCTACTTTCCAAAAAGGGGTAATTTTGGGGATATCTGTACTGTCCTGGCATTTTTCGGGAGTCAAGAAAATGAGTGTGGCCATCAAGTACATCAGGATTGATC